GGGACCAGAATTTCCACTCCTAACCAACTCGGTTGTTAAGTGATTCATGTCTGATTTTACAACCTTTCCCCCCATGTTTAAATGAATGACTGCAGTTCTTAAGTGAATTATACAGCTGTTAAGCCAATTTGCTTCCTCCATTGGCCTTGCTTGTTGGAAGGGGATCATGTGACCCCATGATGCTGTACCTGCTATAATTACATGGCGGTTGCCAAGCACCCAAATTTTAATTATGTAACCGTGAGGATGCTGTGGTGGTTGGAAGTGCGAGGACTGGTTGTAAATCCCTTTTTTTAAGTGCTGTTGTAACTTTGAGCATTCACTAAATGAATGATTGTAAGTCAAAGAGTACTGATATTCTTTTGTACACAAATTCAAAGCTCTACATTTCAAGCAGGAATGTTATATTATTAAATTGACCATTTATATATCAACCTAACCGGAATCCTTAGCTTAAAATCTACAAACTGCAATTTGCAAATTGTTATGCTCAACTTTAAAAATAGGAAGGATGGCTGCAAAATCAGTGAATATATGTCAAGAGGGGTAGGGGGTGGGGGTGGGGGAAAACCAGATGAGAAGATGAAAGGGGAAAAAAATAACACCAAATATTTTCCTGCATTATTTCTGGTTTAGCCTGCATAGATTCAATTTAGGTCAAAGCTTTTAGGGGAAAATTTTCCTGGCAGCTTGAAAGCTGCTGTAATTTAACAGATCATTTCAGGTAGCATCATAGTTGGTCATTTATGGTGAGCCTGAATTACGTTTATCTAAGCAATCCTGCAGAAAAAATAAAGCTTTTGGGATCAGAGAAGGACATCTTATTTTTTAGATTGTTAAAAACCAGTCTAAATGTACCCCTCAAATCTTCATTTTCCACCAAGTCTCTTATGTGAGATGCTTTAGAGAAAAAAAAAAACAAGGTTCAAATATGTTTTCATGCATGTTGAGGCTCTTAAACAGATTCCTTTCCAGCTTTTCCTGAGTGCAATTGTACCATACAGATCAGGGGTGGGTTCAGGGGTGAAATGCTCCCGGTTCGGACCGGATTGCCCAATCCGGTAGCGATGGCAGCGGGTGGTTCGGAGAACCGGTAGTAAAAATCCCTCCGCACCTCCATGCCCAGCTGAGCTGCGCAATCATCAGAGGCTTTTTATTTTACTTTTAAAAGCATTTTTTCGACAACCTCTTCGGCCAAAAAAATACTTTTAAAAGTAAAAAAAAAAGCCTCTGCCGATCAGGCAAGTCAGCTGGGATCATCAGAGGCTTTTAAAAGCCAAAGAGGTTGTCGAAAAAATGGTTTTAAAAGTAAAAAAAAAAAAAAAAACCCACAGTTGGCCATGCCCACTCAGTCATATTACCCCCACCACCACCAAGCCACACCCACAGAACCAGTAGTAACAAATTTTACATTTCACCACTGGGTGGGTTGCTACTGGTTCACGCCTGTTCGGGCGAATCGGTAGCGGTGGCGGCAGGAGGCTCTGCCCACCCGCCCAGAACCTTGTGCGCATGCACAGAAGCATTGTGCGCTCGCAAAACAAGTGCACGCGCCCATGTGCTCCCAATAGCAAACCAGTAGCCCCGGGATTTGAAACCCACTACTGATATAGATGTGTGAACTTCAGAATCCCCCAGCTAACATCACCATTACTGAGAATTTTAGCAGTGGAAACCCACAATACTGGCAAGTGTCCAGACTGGGCAAAGCCCATTGTATATATCACCATTTTTGTCCTTCCACACTGCAGTCTTAAGCTGCCTGTCTCCCATACATTAACCTGCTGAAAATAAAACTGAATTAGGAAATCCCTTTCGGATTTGAACTTCTTCCTCCATAGTGCTCAAATCGAAGCAGCTACTCAGTTAAGTAGTGAAACATTTCAAATCAAAAAAGAAAACAAGTCCAGTTGCCATGACTCAACTTCCAGACAGCTCTACCTCGATGACTGAGAAACTTCATCAGCATAAAACCCTGAATATAGTTAACGCAGCCTCCCCATTGGTGGATTCCCCTGCATCTTTTGCCCCTTCCCGTCTATGCCGGGAAATTAAGCATCAATTTATTTCCATTATGTTGGCATGCTGATGTCAGGCACCCCAGGAACCAAAAAAGACACGTGGAATTACCTCTGAGTAGTTTCCTTTACTGTTCCTCGCCTATAGACAGAAATCTTATCAAATTAAAGTAACTATTTGAATCACTATAGATATACCCTGAGAATCACTAGGGAGGAATGTTTATAACTTTTCCTCCTGACCAGACTTTGCTCTCTGGAATGCAGCCCCTCCTTCCTGGAAATCCAGGCTTCATTCTACCACAGTCCAGTTCACTTGTAAGATTTTGTTAACGTAACCTTACGATAAAGTAGAGCTAGTAATTCAGGTTGTGCTACTTGTCTAGACAACCTTATCAGACTGACATCACTGTTGCAAGTCATTTTGATATGGCCACGCCCAGCCTGCCTCCACAAAGGAAAAACACATTGCAATACATTACAATATGGCAGTGGTGGAATTCAAATTTTTTTACTACCAGTTCTGTGGGCATTACTTGGTGGCCATGGTGTGGCTTGGTGGGTGTGGCAAGGAAAGGATACTGCAAAATTCCCATTTCCTCCCCACTCCTGGGGGAAGGATATTGCAAAATCTCCATTTCCACCCCACTCTGGGGCCAACCAGAGGTGGTATTTGCCGGTTCTTCAAACTACTCAAAATTTCTGCTACCGGTTCTCCAGAATCTGTCAGAACCTGCTGAATAGCACCTCTGTGATACGGCCTGTGCAAGCAGGTTTGACACCCCTGGGCTAATCAATAAACTAAACTAACTAACTTTTGCAAGTCTGAAATACATTTCTCCTCCATCATCTTTAAGCTCAAGAGACTAGGGAGGACCATGTTGGAAGATCCTCTTTTCTGGGCTCTTATCCAACAGCTCCCCAGCTGTGGCTCTTCCTCCTGTTTCCCAAGGTCATTCTCACATATGAGTACATCATTGCCAGGAAAGTCAAGAAGGTGGCCATGATGGTGTGTCACACATGACACACATAAAGAACAGATGAAGTTTTCATCACAGTGTCCTATAGCAGTGTTTTTCAACTTAGCAACTGTAAGAGGTGTAGACTCTTCATTAGCCATTCCTTCATTCCTTAGCCATTCCTGCTGACTAAGGAATTCTGGGAGTTGAAGTCCACACCTTTTACAGTTGTTGAGATTGAAAGGCACTGCTTTCGACCAGAGTGGCCAGTGGTGAAATCTGAACCGGTTTCCTACCAGTTTGCTGGCTGCGCATGCGTGCCACATGCCAAATGTGAGGTGCCCCCGCGCACAGTGCATGCCAAAGGCATTGGGTAAGTAGAACAGCGCACAGAGGGGTGTGATCAGCTGTGGTGCGCGATATTCAGAGCCTTTTATTTTTACCTTTTCAAAGCATTTTTTACAACCTATTCGGTTGAGTAGGTTGTAAAAAAATGCTTTTAAAACTTTTTAAAAGGCTCCAACAATCACGTGCCACAGCTAAAAAAAAAAAGTTCCGACGATTGCCACATCGCTCACCTGATTGTCAGAACTTTTTTTTTTTTTACATTTTTTACTACCGGTTCAGCGAACCAGTAGCCTTTTTTACTACCGGTTCGGCGAACCAGTAGCCTTTTTTACTACCGGTTCGGCGAACCAGTAGCCTTTTTTACTACCGGTTCGGACGAACCGGACCAAACTGGGAGCATTTCACCCCTAAGGGTGCCCCAACTCCCAGTCCTTGAACTGGTACCAGGTAGTGAAACCGCACAGTAGTGGGTTTCAAAACCTATCGCTACCAGTTCGCTCGTGGGAACATGCTTGCACGTGATGCTTCTGCGCATGCGCAGAAGCGTCTGGGTGGGTGGGCAGAGCCTCCCGCCACCGCTGCTACCGGTTCGCCCGATCTGAGGCGAACCGGTAGCAACCCACCACTGCTGCGGTATGCCAAAAACTGGCCCGTGCAAAGAAGCAAAGCCCCATCCATGGTATGCAGGCAGCATGCAAAACTATGCCTGCTCCAGTCTGCGGAAAATGTCTCTCCATGGAACCAGTCCCTGGTGTCCAAAAGGTTGGGGGGGGGGACACTGCTTTAGAGGGTCTCCCTCATAGGCTGGAGATAAGAAGAAGGCAAAATTATGAAGCCCAGCTGAGTATTTCCAAGGCATATTTGCACATAGTGAGCTGTAAGTGGAGAATGATCCCTGGGAATTGTGCCACTCCTCAACCCCATGATTGGAGTTGCATTACTTTGAAAGACGGCCAAATAATTTAGCCACCAAGGTAAAATAATCGCATGAAATAAAGGTCGGCTGCTGATTTGTTGTCTGAACAATTAAAGCATTGTTTACTACCCTGTGTTTAAATTAGGATTGATCCCTAGTAAATATGCTTCCGATTATAACCTCCTTGAGGATTGTTTCGGTCTGCTTTTAATGAACACTGATTTTTCTCTTTTAAGTCTTATGAATTGCAGTCATTTGTTGTTGATGTTGTTTTAAAAAAAGAGGTAAGTGACTCAATGCATATTTTTAAAAAATCGTTTAGCATGTAGAAGAGCTGAACTCATTGTACACGGCTTTGATCTACTCAACTCTGCTTTGGCAAAAGGGTTGTTTTTGTAATGCTATTGGAAAGCCAACATAGAGACAAACGTTTCGGAGAATGTCGGAAGAAAACTGGAGCAGGACAAATGTGGATTGATCAATGCGGTTTCAAAAGGCCAGGAAAGGGTGCGTCCCTTAATAAACTGGTAGGCATTTCCCCAGAATGGGGGACCTTGGCATGCCAGCATGTCAAAAAATTCACACTAGCGAGCTACCTGTTAGCCGAAAGAAATGAGATCAAAGCGAGTTTGGCTGGATGGGACTTTGTCAAAGGCCATTTCCAAGCACTTTTGCTTCCAAAGATCAAATTTTGCAAGCTTTTTGAAAAACATCACTGCCCCTCCTCTTCCTTTTTTTAACCTTCCTCCCTTCTTTCAGGGTTTCTTGCTTTTGAAGACTTGACAAGCCCTTCTGCTCTTCTGTGGACACCCCTCACCCACCCATAATTTCAAGATCCATTGAAATACCAGAGGGTAGCATTAATCAGAGGGCAAGGCTGCCAGGTACATATTTTGGCCAGACCAACAATGCATGCCAAACCACAGGTATTTTCTCGGATGGTTCCTTTTATGAAAGCTCTTTTTTTTCCCCCATATTCTTTGTTGCTGTAGCCCCCAATCCTTTTTATTCTTTCTGCTATTTTCCTCCCCACTTTCTTCCCTTCCCTAAGGAGGGTTCTTCTCTTCCCAAGATGTCATTTGATTGGCTACTTAACCTTGTTTAGCTGTAATCTTTTGTGATACAAGGAAATGTGTCTGCACTTCCAACCTCAGCCAGGACAGGGACCCTTTGATTTGAACAACTAAGACAACCAACAACCAACAAAGCCTGGAGCAATCAACAATCAACCAACAACCCACAAAATTGCAGTTATTTTTCAAGAATAGGGTAGGGTAGGGTAGGGTAGGGTAGGGTAGGGTAGAGTAGAGTAGAGTAGAGTAGAGTAGCGTAGCGTAGCATAGCATAGCATAGCATAGCATAGAATAGAATAGAATAGAATTCTTTATTGGCCAACTGTGATTGGACACACAAGGAATTTGTCTTGGTGCATATGCTCTCGGTGTACATCAAGAATCATAAGGTACAACACTTAATGATAGTCATAGGAAAACAATCAATATAAATCTTAAGGATACCAGCAACAAGGTTACAGTCATACAGTCATAAGTGGGAGGAGATGGGTGATAGGAATGGTGAGAAAATTAATAGTAATGCAGACTTAGTAATTAGTTCGACAGTGTTGAGGGAATTATTTGTTTAGCAGAGTGATGGCATTTGGGAAAAAAACTGTCTTTGTGTCTAGTTGTTCTGGTGTGCAGTGCTCTATAGCATCGTTTTGAGGGTAGGAGTTGAAACAGTTTATGTCCGGGATGCGAGGGGTCTGTAAATATTTTCACAGCCTCTTTTTGACTCGTGCAGTATACAGGTCCTCAATGGAAGGCATTTAATGGGTCATGTTATAACTTGTAACAAGAGCACAGACATGAGCTGAATTATATTGGTGTTATTCATCAAAGCAACCTTGGCAACTTGAAGATGTGTGGACTTCAATTCCCAGAATTCTCCATCCAGCATCTTCAACTTACCAAGGTTGAGAAACATTGCATTAAAAGGTGGACCAAATTGGGTCTGTTCTAGATATTATTCTGCCAGCCACCTGCCAGCCCGTAGACTTGATGTTAGCACTTTATTCTTTGCTGGAACACTTTGAAGAAAAAGTGTTCGCTTTCTTCAGTGCTGTCATAACTTCTTCAGTCACTGAACGAATGATCGTAAATTGAGGATTACTTGTATGTGCCCATTTCATCACATGCAGATTGTTTTCCTTCCAGAAATTCAAGGTGGTGGACCAAGGTCCCTGATTTATCCTTTTAATCTCACAGACTTCTTGGGATGTAGATCAGGATCAGTGGTGGGATTCAAATTTTTTTACTACCTGTTCTGTGGGTGTGGTGTGGCTTAGTGGGTGTGGCATATCTTGGTGGGCGTGGCATGGTGGGCATGGCAGGGGAAGGATACTGTAAAATCTCCATTTGCACCCTACTCCAGGGGAAGGTTACTGCAAAATCCCCATTTCCTCCCGATCAGCTGGGACTCGGGAGGCAGAGAATAGATGGGGGCGGGGCCAGTCAGAGGTGGTATTTACCGGTTCTCCAAACTACTCAAAATTTCCGCTACCGGTTCTCCAGAACTGCTCAGAACCTGCTGAAACCCACCTCTGGTCAGGATGGGAGATTATATGTTTGCAAGTTATGCAAAGCAATTCAGAGTGTTGAAGTCCACAGCTTTTAAATAGCCAAGCTTGAAAATTACTGCTTTAGGGGTTCAAGGCAGCTTACTCAGAGGTTTACTCCACACACCCCACCAATAACAGCAACACTACAAGTTGGGTTGGGCTGAGAGAGAGCCCAACTTCACCAATAATGTCAGTGAAGAATCTCGGACATCCAGGTAGAGTTGTCTGTATTGGAAGGTGAATCATGACAGTTGGACTACTTTTCTTTTTTATTTGAAATGTTTTGCTGCTTATTTCAAGCAGCTTCTTCAGTTGAGTCCAGTGGCCATGATTTAATTTCCAGTTCGCCCAATAATGATCACATGAGGACTTGAAACTTGAGTCTCTCTGACTCACGTTTTACATATTAATACTTCCATTCTTCCTAACACAGATTAAGGTCCAAACAGAAAGATTGATAATCCTTGGCTAACAAGGTTTGGGTCTTTAAATTTGTTTGCAAACAATGTTTTATTGCTGGTAAACAGCCGTTTCCAATTAGTAACTGGTCATAAACTGGCTCCCCACCTTGTCTCCCAGGCCAATTCATTTTTATGAGTTTCTTAAATGTGGGGAGAACATGGTGATGGGCAATTTTCATAGCTGAGTGGCAGAAAGCAAGCTGAATTTCTCCATCTCGTGATGAATGACTGTTCAGATTTACAAGGAACAAAGTTCACCCATCTACTGAATCGTCTACCATTGCAATCTTCTACTGTTGCAATCAAGAGGATCCTGGGCCCATTTTGGTGACCCAACATGAGAAACCTCATCCTTTCTTTGTGTGGGGATGCTTACTGTTTTTCTATCTTACACATTAGCGTTGTGGTTGGATACAACCCTACACTGCAGGTCAATGTAGGCAATGATGGACAAATGGTTTGAGTTGAAATCCTCTCCCATCTTAGTACCTCCAGATCAGGGGTGCTATTCAGCAGGTTCTGACAGGTTCTGGAGAACCGGTAGCGGAAATTTTGAGTAGTTTGGAGAACCGGCAAATACCGCCTCTGGCTGGCCCCAGAGTGGGGTGGGAATGGAGATTTTGCAATATCCTTCCCCCAGGAGTGGGGAGGGAATGTGGATTTTGCAGTATCCTTCCCCTGCCATGCCCACCAAACCACGCCCACCAAGCCACGCCATGCCTACCAAGCCATGCCTACCAAGCCACGCCCACAGAACCAGTAGTAAAAAAAATTGAATTCCACCACTGTTCCAGATATGTTGGAACCATAGCAATCCTATGTCTAGCAAGGCGTTAGCTATACAGGTAGTCCTCAACAATTGATCGATCACAATTGTCGATCACAATTGAGCCCAACATTTCTGTTGTGAGATTTTTTTAAGCGTTGAGTTGACCATTTTTGACCTTTCTTGCCACAGAAGTGCATGCACGAAGAGAACCGGTAGTAAAGCCAGTTAGAACCCACCACTGGACTACTCGTGTGTTTTAATGACTCGGGAAGCTGACGTCACAACACTAATACTATAGTGATGGTTGAGGCCATAGTCTGGAAACCTGAAATTCAAAAGAGGTCCTTTGAGTATCTTCCTTTTGCCATAGCTTTCTATTGCTGCCACGTATCTTCCAGGGGGCATTTTATCTGGTCTCCTAATCCCATTGTAACCGAGGACAACACCGAGTGCTATCTTTCTGGCAACTAAATGGTAAACATGCACAAAAGTGCAATAATTTCAGTTGTTCGACTTCCCGGCTATATAGCATAGAAGCATAATGCCTAGATGTTTAGTTCTTCCTTCCCCTTTTGGGAGAAAAACCCAATCGCACAAGAGATAAGCAAAATCAAACTTTGTTTTTTTAGAAAAGAAAAGGAAAAGAAAAAGAAAAGAAAAGCTAACGTGAAAAAAAATCCCCTCTCTTTTTATCTTTAAATAGTAATATGCAAACATTTGTGGCTTGAGAAGATAAATTACAGAGCTGCTCAGTTCCAGTCAGCGGTTGGATTAAAAATAAACTAACACCCACCCACTCCCCACCGGAAAAAAAAATCAATTTTCAGGCATAGTGATGCTCATCTGCTATCAATACTTCCATATAGAATCTCAAAAAAGATGCTGCACAGCTTTAAAATTACTATGACAGGTCACACCTTTCAAAAGCGTAACATTCTACCCAATTTTACAATCATTTTTACTGCAGTCCTTAAATGAATCACAGTGCTTGTTAAGTGAACGGTTGTTCTGCCCCAGCTACGGACCCCAAAGAACGCAGCACACACAAACTCTATACAAAGCTTATTTTACTCAAATAACTCAGTCTTTATCAACCAAAGGCTGTTAATAAACTGTCTTAACAGCCTACAAGAATTCTGAGATAAGGTAATCACAGTCTTACTAGAATTGGCAGAAAGCCCAGAAGCAGTTTTGCAGACACGAAGGAGAGTGAACTAAAGTTGTTCTCTACAGCTTGTTGCAAGTGGTGTTCCTTCTTAAGTAGGCTAAGGGAGTGGCCAATTAGCCCCAAGCCTTACTCTCGAGGAGACCTCCTCCTGAGGAGCCACTCCTGCCTTTTGGCAGCTCTGTGCGCCCGTGCATCAAGAAGAGGCTCCTCCTCTTCGTCCTCTTCACTTAAGGGAGCTTCTGGAGGTTCTGAAGGCCCTGGCTGAATCCCTGCCCCTGGCACCACATCTTCTCCAGCCTCCTCATTGTCCGACTCAAGTGCCAGCTGCACAGGCTGCTGGCGCAGCACCACACCAGCCTCCTCGTTGTCGGAATCAGCTACAATCTGCACAGGCCGCTGATGGGCCACAACAACTATACTGATGTTAAGGGAATCGAGTTTTCGCCATTGCTTGTTGGAAACCAGGTGGAAAGGTGGAAAATCAATGTCATTTGGCTGCAAAATGCTGTAACTTTCATAAATGTGAGCCAGGCATCCAAGTGTCTGGACTATGATCACATGATCACAGCAGTAGTGGGTTTCAAAAATTTTTACTACTGGTTCTGTAGGTGTGGCATGGCTTGGTGGGCATGACTTGGTGGGTGTGGCAGGGGAAGGATACTGCAAAATCCCCATTTCCTCCTGATCAGCTGGGACTCAGGAGACAGAGAATAGATGGGGGCAGGGCCAGTCAGAGGTGGTATTTACTGGTTCTCCGAACTATTCAAAATATCTGCTATCAGTTCTCCAGAACTGGTCAGAACTTGCTGAAACCCACCTCTGGATCACAGGGGTGGCACAACTGTTGTAACTTCGAGGATGGGTTGTAAGTCACTTTTTCTGAGGCCATTGTAACTTGGGCATTACCTGAGCAGTGATTATTGATAGTGGTTGTGAGGCTGAACCCAAACAAGAAAGCATAAGCCTAACTAATCATTTGTCAGCACTTCAACCTGCATTTACTCTAGTGCTGACATAAGAAGAAGAGGGGGCAGCTGGCAAGAGGACGCTTGACATTTCACCTACTTATTTTCCTTGAAGATAATATCCCCTAGGAGATGAGATGGGAGGGGGGACATTCCTGGGAGCTTAAGTAGTAGATATGGGGAGAGTGATTTGGAAGAAGGCCAATGAGACGTAGAGATTTGGGGAACGGAAAGGGAAGGTTTGGGGTCAGGAAGTCAGAGTTGGCTACGCCACGATCGGGGGCAGATTGTCGTGCTTAATAAAATGAAAGATTTCTTCAAAGACTTATCTGTTTGGGAATGCAATTTATTTTATTTGAGATGATATCGAAACCTGACATCATTACAGTATAATAATGTAGGAGTTATTCTGGAGAGCCAATCTAAGAAGGATGATGATGAAACTGAAGAGAGCCAAGGTCAAGCGAAAAGCAAATTAATGCCTGCTTTCCTCCAAACTGCTGTTGTCCAGATGCTATAAAATCCATAACTTCATAGCCTGGAGTGGTGTTTTTTTTTCAAGCTTGGCAACTCTACAATGTACGGACTTCATCTCCCAGAATTCCCCAGCTGGCATCTTAAAGTTGCCAAGTTTGAAAAATGATGTTCTAGGGCTGATGGAAGTTGAAATCCAATTCATCTGGAAGGCACATCCGGAAGATCGGGGAAGGCCGCATATTGATAGAGGAGAACAGCTAAACGAAGACAACTGTAGGGAAATGGGACAGAAAATCCCAGCGGCTGAAGATAAAATAGCCAAAGAGAAAATGTACAGCTGAGGAACACCCTGTACCAGTCGTGGAATTCAAATTTTTTTACTACCAGTTCTGTGGGCTGGCTTGGTGGGTGTGGTGTGGCTTGGTGGGCATGGCAGGGGAAGGATACTGCAAAATCCCCATTCCCTCCCCATTCCTGGGGGAAGGATATTGCAAAATCTCCATTCCCACCCCACTCCGGGGCCAGCCAGAGGTGGTATTTGCTGGTTCTCCGAACTTCTCAAAATTTCTGCTACCGGTTCTCCAGAACCTGTCAGAACCTCCTGGATTTAACCCCTGCCCTGTGCAGTTGTGTGCAGGGTGGGTGAGGAGTTTTTTTTTTAAAGGAAAGTCTGAAAAGAAATTCGAAATGACAATTCCTTTTTTTAAAAAAAAAAATCCTTATAATGGTAAAGAACTTAAAAACAATCCAAATCAGGCAATTTAAAGTTTTTCAGAAGTGAAAAGCATAGCTCGATCTTCCCCAACATAGAAGCATATAGTAGACAAGCCAGAAAATTATACTAGAGGGAAGGGGAAAAAAAAACTTAAAGGATGAAAGTGTTTTGTCTGGACAGAGGCCTATATATGAGAAAAAGCATTTGCACATTTTTACAGTCTGCAAAAAATAACGGCAATCACTTCAATCTCAATTTTGCAAATCAGTTTCAAGGTTAAATGAGGATTTCCGAAGTTCCCTCAAACAACCAGCCACAGGATGGCAGGTTTTAACGTCTAACAGTTCCATGTCATTGCAACAACAGGAGAAGTAGAAGAGAGAGAGAGAGAGAGAGAGAGAGAGAGAGAGAGAGAGAGAGAGAGATTCCTTCCCTTTGCAGGGAAGAAATGCAAAATGTGAGTCTCGTGTTCAAGGCGAGAAGGGTACTCCAATGCATCTGTAATGCTGCCCTGGGGCTGATTTAATAGCTTACCAGATCTGAAGCCAAAGGTCGGTGTGCAAAACAGCAAAAGATGGCCTGGTACTGCTCCAAAAGATTAATAGACCGTGAGAGAGAGAGAAATCAAAAGACTAACCTGACATTAAGCTTCTCTGAATGTCAAACTCATTTTGTGTATAGGAAAAGATTATTGATCCTGTTAGAATTGCTCTAGGGCCGCCGTGGGATGTTGTTCTGGATTTACAGTAGACTGTGGAAGAGAAAGGAAGAAGAATTATTGCAGTGTTATGCACAGCATAATAGTATGAGAGAATTGGGGGGGGGGCGGGGGGAAGAGAGAAGTGAAGAGAAAAGCACGATGATGATTATTAAAGGCCTGGAGACTAAAACGTATGAAGAACGGTTGCAGGAAGTGGGAATGGCTAGTCTAGAGAAAAGAAAGACTAGGAGGCGACATGATAGCTGCAGTATTCCAGAATTTGAGGGGCTGCCATAAAGAGGAATAGAACTGGAAGGTCCCTTGGAGATCAACTTATTTTCCAAAACATCAGAAGGCAACACAAGGAACAATGGATGGAAACTAGTCAAGGAGAGAGGAGCAACCTGGAGTTAAGGAGAATTTCCCTAACAGTGAGAACAATTAACCAGTGGAATGACTTGCCTCCAGAAGTTGTGGGTGCTCCATCACTAGAGGTTTTTAAGACAGGTGTTAAAACCTGTTTTCAGACAAGTGGATAGCCGCTTGTCTGAAATGGCGTAGGTGTCAGGCTTCGAGGTCGTCTCAAATAAATTGCATTTCAAACAAAGTCTTTGAAGGAAAACTCCTATTTATTAAGCACGACATTCCACACCCGACTCCATCGAAGCCAACACTGACTTCCAGACCCAAAACCCTCCCTTTCCGTTCCCCACTCCCCTGCACTCATTGGCCATCTTCCAAGTCATTCTACCCCTAATCTACCGCTTCAGCTCAAAGGAATTTCCCCCCTCCCATCCCATCTCCTAGGGGATATTATCTCCAGGGAAAATAAGTAGGTGAAAAGTCAAACGTCCCTTTCCAGACGCCTCCGCCTCTCCTTCTTATGTCAGCACTAGAGTAAATGCAGCTTGAAGTGCTGACGGTAGGGTCTCCTGCTGGAGCAGGGGTTGGATCCCTTCCGGCTCTATTCTGATGTCTGAGTAACAGTACTTAGGAACTGATTGTTGACCTACATGGCCATTTGAGATCAGCATCTTTTCAAGAAGCCCCACCACCACCCAACCTTAGGGTCTCTAGATGCCTTGGACTAATCCTCAATTTATGACCATTCAGAGTTATGACAGTGCTGAAAAATGTGACTTGCAACCGGTCCTTGAACTGACTATCACAGCAGCCCTACAGTCAGTGGTGGGATTCAGCCAGTTCGCACCACTTCAGGAGAACTGGTTGTTAACTTTCTGAGCAGTTTGATGAACTGGTTGTTGGAAGAAATCATTAGGGCAGAGGACCGGTTGTTAAATTATTTGAATCTCACCACTGCCTACAGTCATGTGATTGTTGTTGGGGTGCTTGGTATTGGAATGTATTTATGATGGTTGAGACTCACGTGATTGCCATTTGTGAACTTTCCAGCTGGCCTCCAATAAGCAAAGTCAAGGCTGGATTTCCCTTAAAAACCGCACAATTCACTTAAGAGAATACCAAGGCTCCTACGAACAGGGATTTTGTGTGCCATAAATCACTAGTCTCTTCCATTCTAATGCCATGAAGACATGTTGTCGGTTTATAATGTAAATTGGAAGCTTCTAATGTTTCAGTGTTGGATAGATCAGTGTTTCTCAACCCTGGCAACTTGGAGAGGTGTGGACTTCAACCCCCAGAATTCCATACCTCTTCAAGTTGGCAAGGTTGAGAAACACTGAGAAAGATGCACAATGATTTTAGAGAAGCACACATTTGATTGTAAGTGAGGGTCCAGCCCGTGATATGGTCGGATCCGGCCCATGGGTCTGTCTTGGTCTACCCAATGAGAAGAGGAAAGATCGGGCCAGCAGTTTGGGGAGTGGCGTCAAACTAGCCACAGCCACCCTATTGGCCAGACACCCCCAGTTAGCCACACCACACCCATCCAGTCAACCACGCCCCAGCCCCTCCCGAGGTCAACCACAGCCCTGATGCAGCCCTCAATGAAATTGAGTTTGACACCCCTGACCTAAAGGCTATGTTTGCATAATGTCATGCACTTGGTTAGTTTTGATCTTGGTAAGCTTCTTGGTGTCTGTGTGAACCCAGTGGTGGGTTGCCCCCGGTTCTATAGAACCGGTAGTAAATCTGATGGGAGGCTCCGCCCACCAATCCCGACGTCATCAGAATGCTTCTGCGCATGCGCAGAAGTGAGCGCGCAGCCCCGTTGCGAACCGGTAGTAAAGGTGAATGGAACCCACCCCCGTGTGAACCCATCCCATTTGGCTAATTTATGGTTTAGTGAATCATGCAGCTTCAACAATTAGGTTAAGTCTATTGCATAAATACAGAATGTATGTATTTAATAATTATTTCAATAACAATTGCCATTAGATAACAACTTCTTGTCTTCGTAGTGACCGAGGAAGAGAAAAAAAATATGGATTTTCCTGGTCAAAATGAAGCCCGGCAGGACATAAGCAGAGTGGCCTGTGACATTCACATCCTCCTATTTTGTCTCAGTTGGACAGTTTTTACCATTGCTTAAAAACAACAAGAGAAGATAGCAGACCAGATCAACATACCAGGCTGTCATTAATTATTTTGAAAGAGAGAGGAAAGAAACTCATCCACAAATACCAACAACATTTTAGAATGCAACCACACCCCTTCTCAGAAATCACCCAAAACCCAAATAGAGACAGCAATTTACAAGGGAGGGTTCACCAAAAAAATTAGGACTGTCCCCAACAAGGGTTCAGTTTTCCTCCTCATTAGCCCATTTATAAAGACGGCCAGCCACTGACTCTGCACATAAAATATGAAACGTGTTATAATCCAGCCACGCTGGAAAATGTAAAAATCTGACTCTGAACACAATTACTTGGAAGTGAGTTACGTTGAGTGCAATACAAGCCTGTCTGACTTGTAGGAGGTTAAGGTTAGAAAAGGAATCCTCCTCCATGAAGCCCTTCTGGAAGAGCAACAGGGAGCCATTTACAACTGTGTCTCCTGTATTCCCCTGCCTGAGCTTTCCACAGTGGGATCTTAGCCCCTGGCTCAGCTCCTGATGGCTGGAGATGGCATTACAAACTCAGCTATTCATGGCAATGCACGGTGCAGTCTGCCGACAGCAGGCCTATTTGCTAACCACAACAATTCAGTACATCTCCTTTGGCCGGCTCCATGTCTCAAACCGTGGTCTAGAAGGCATGCTAGAAGAGCCCAGAAGGATGTTGTCACTTGGATCCTGGTCCCGACCAAATGATGGGGAAGGGAGGGAGGGAGGGAGGGAGGGAGGGAGGGAGGAAGGAAGGAAGGAAGGAAGAGATGAATGATGGAAAGGGAGGGAGGGAGGGAGGGATGAATGATGGAAAGGGAGGGAGGAAGGAAGGGATGAATGGTTGAGAGGGAGGGAGGGAAGGTGGAAGGAAGGAAAAGATGAATGGTGGAGAGGGAGGGAGGAAGGGATGAATGGTGGAGAGGAAGGAAGGGAGGGAGGGAGGAAAAGATGAATCATGGGGAGGGAGGGTGGGAGGAAGGAAGGAAGGGATAAATGGTTGAGAGGGAGGGAGGGAGGGAGGGAGGGAGGGAGGAAGGAAGGAAGGAAATTTCTACTTTCAGCAACATCTCTTCTATTTGGTGGTGGGGGGAAGATGGTGATGGCTCTTTAGCAGATAATAACGAGTAAGATTTCAAAGGCAGAAGAATAGTTTTGAGAATGGATGAAGCCAACAGTCCTTCTAGATCAGCATTCCTGTTCCCCCAGGGGTTGGAGAGAGGTATTTGGGAAGCTCCCAAGAATGTAACTTAGAACATTGACACAGCCTTATACTAAATAATGTTATAGGAAGACAAACTGGTGACCTACAGCTGTGTTAGGATTGCAATTCCCAATACTTCCGAGCAATTTATTACCCAAATCGTCTAGCAATTCCCCCACCACAACTGGAAGACATTAAACTGGAGAAAGTTACTCCCTATCAACTGACATTATGACTGCAAATTTTCTGATAGGAATCTACTCATGTATTTTTGCAGGCACCGGTCTACTCATTTGTTTTCTTTTAACACTGATCAGCTGTAGGGTGGCCCTTTGAAGCCCCGCGGCAAGAGTTTAAACAGTTTTTTTCCCTCTAGTCATCAGCTGGGACTCAGGAGGCAGCCATAGATTGGGGGTGGGGCCAAATAAAAGATAAAAATAACGCGGGGGGGGCGCGGAGGGTGCGGGGGCACGGGGGGCAGAACTGGTTCGGTGACGTCATATCGTCACTGCTACAAGCTCGGGAGAATTGGGCTGAACCGGGAGGAACTCAATACTCACCACTGGAGTGAGTATTCATTTCATTTTTCATTTTATTAAATTTGTATACCGCCCTACTCCCGAAGAACTCAGGGCGGTGAACAGGCACAAAATAAAACACATAAATACAAAAGTTAAAACATGATTAAAACCCAATTAAATAATTTTTGCCCGAGACAATTTAAAACTCCCAATAATTTAAAACAAATTAAAATTTCAGTTTAAAAATATAAAAGAAGGGGAAAAAAATAGGCCAGGTCGGCCTGCTGGAATAGGAGTGTCTTCAAAGCACGGCGGAAAGTGCGCAGATTCGGGATCCTCCGTATCTCTGGGGGGAGCTCGTTCCAGATAGTAGGTGCCCCCACAGAGAAGGCCCTCCCCCCTAGGGGCCGCCAGTCGACATTGTTTGGCTGACAGCACCTGGAGGAGCCCCTCTCTATGAGAGCGTACCGGCTGGTGGGAGGCTGTTTGTGGTAGTAGGCGGTCCCGTAAGTAGCCAGGTCCTAAGCCATGGAGCGCTCTAAAGGTGGTAACCAAAACCTTGAAGCGCACCTGGAAGACCACCGGGAGCCAGTGCAGCTCGCGCAGGAGAGGTGTCACACGGGAGCACCATGTTGCTCCCATAACCACCCGTGCGGCCGCACTCTGCGCCAGTTGGAGCCTCTGGGTGCTCCTCAAGGGGAGCCCCATGTAGAGAGCGTTACAATAGTCCAGGCGGGAGGTAACGAGGGCATGAGTATGGTCAATCACAAAACATACTTTCAGTAGAAGAAAGTCTGTAGAGATTTTCAGTCATCCAGGTTATGGTTGTTCCAAAGATGCTTTTTCAGGAGGCAACTAGATGTTCTTGTTTCTTTTTCTTTGAAGACGTTTCACTTCTCATCCAAGAAGCTTCTTCAGGTCTGACTGGATGGTGGGGAATGGAAGGATTTATATTCCTTGCAGGCAGCTGGTCATTTGCATCCTTTTTGAGGGTTGTTGAAGCCCTTGGAGGTTTATCTGTGTCCTCAGGGTCACTTGAGTAGTGCTAATGGTTCAGTAGAAGACAATCTGGAGAGAGTTTTCTGCTCCACTCTTTCTAACAAACTTCTCCAAATTTCTGAGCTAAACTGATGGGTTCTCCCCAGTTTCGCTCAGCTGGTAGCTATGTTTTCCCAGTGGATAAGCAGCACAACAATTCATTTATTGATCCTTCTGCAGACAGCCTGTTCCCTGATAACCATAAATTTAGCAAATCTGTGCATTTTGTTCAAGTGGAAACTGAGATCAACCAGCCCTCTTTAGACCAAATTACACTTTTGGAAACCAGCTGAAGTTCAATGTAACCTTCAAAACCAACTGATGTGAACAAGGCCAGCCCTACCATTAGGCAAAAACATGGATCAACCTCACAGGGCAGAACCTGAGGAACAGGGGCAAAGTATTAAGAGAGCAGCGTTTGGTATGCTGAGCAATCTTCTGTATAACCCCCAAGAAATACACAGCTTTAGTAGGGACAGAAGAATCTGCCTTACCCAAATCTTGCTGTAAAAGTCAAGCACCAATCCTTTTGGCTTCTAATGAGCTCTAACCCTACCATTAGAGAGAACATAACCACCACTTTGGGAGGTGAATTGTGGCTAGGGCTGAACTTCTTCACCCTGTGCAACTTTTTCTTGAACTTCAAATGTGTTATTCTCTGCAGTGACCTAACCTCAATGCTACATTCAGCAAAACTCTGGAAAGAGTGCAGAGAAGAGCAATAAAGATGATTCAGGGACTGGAAGCTGAAACGTATGATGAATGGATACAGGAACTGGATATGTCTAGTCTAACAAAGAAAAGAAGTAGGGGTGACATTATAAGAGTGTTCCAATATTTGAGGGGCTGCCATAAAGAAGACGGTGTCAACCTATCTTCCAAAGCACCAAAAGGCAAAACAAGAAGCAATGGATGGAAACTAATCAAGGAGAGAATCAACCTAGAACTAAGAAGAAATTTCCTGATGGTGAGAACAATTAAGCAGTGGAACCGGTTGCCTCCAGAAATTATGGGTGCTCCATTGCTGGAGGTCTGTAGAGTCCAGGTGCCTCCTAAAAAAAGCACCTTTGGGACATCCATCGTTGGAGGTTTTCAGATTTAACAGATTAACAAGAGTTGGAAGGGATCTTGTAGGTCATCTAGACCAACCCACCGCCACCCAAGCAGGAGACCCTACACCATTTCTGACAAATGGCAGTCCAGTCTCTTCTTGAAAGCCTCCAGTGATGAAGCCGCCACAACTTCCAAAGGCAACTTCTGTTCCATTGGTTGATTGGTCTCACTGTCAGAAAATTTCTCCTTATTTCCAGGCTGAATCTTTCCTTGTTCAGCTTCCATCCATTGTTCCTTGTCTGGCCTTCAGGTGCTTTGGAAAATAGCTTGACTGTTGTGGCCCGCCAGCTGCCAGCAGAGCTGTCGGCAGATTCGGACAATGAGGAGGTTGGGGAGGAACTTGGGCCAGTTCTGGAGTCTGGGGAAGGCTCTGATGGATGCTCTGCATCGGACTCAGAGATAGAGCCAGGGCCGTCCGACATTTCTCAGCCACCGGAGAGGCAGCTGCCTTTGGAGGCTGAGATGAGTGAGGAGGAAGAACAGCTGGGGCCTGTTCTAGTTGCCCGTATGTACAGAGCAGTTAGGAGAGGTAAACAATGGAGGACAAGGAGTCTGTTTCTTGTTTCTGCTAAGGCTGGGTCAGAACATTGACCCCCTCCTCTCTGTGGCAGCCCCTCAAATATTGATGCTTCAATCAAATGCAGGAGCTCAAGGGGACTGCAGATTTTTGGACTTAGACACCAGGTGCACACACAAGATAAAGTGAGAAGGTAGATTGGGAGCAGTGGTGAGTTTCAAAAATTTTTACTACTGGTTCTGTGGGCATGGCTTGGTGGGGGTGGCATGGCTTGGTGGGCGTGGCTTGGTGGGCGTGGCAGGGGAAGGTTACTGGAAAATCCCCATTTCCTCTCAATCAGCTGGGACTTGGGAGGCAGAGAATAGATGGGGGCAGTCAGAATTTTTACTACCGGTTCTCCAAACTACTCAACATTTCTGCTACCGGTTCTCCAGAACTGGTCAGAACCTGCTGAACCCCACCTCTGATTGGGAGAGAGAAAATAATTGTTCTCCATTTTATTTTTCAGTAATGGAAGTTTTGTTCCTTCAGGGTTTACAGCAGCAATGGGGTAGAGAACAAACTTTTTTCCTTATTCACCAGGAAGTCAGCAAAGAAAAAGACAATCCTGGATTGTCTTCAAACTGTTTTCAAGGGGTTAAGAAAAAGAAAGAGGGATAAAGTGGAAATACCCTTAATCAACGCTGTGGGGTTCCCACAACCAAATTTTAGCAGGATATTATCACAGGAACTTTACCTGGTTAACGTGTAAATGTTAATGAACATTTAATTATTTAAAATAGTTAATATTTAAAGTAGTTACTTAACATGGTAAATACCTGGAATGCACTACCGGACTCTGTGGTTTCTTCCCCAAACCCCAAAAACTTTAACCTTAGACTGTCCACTGTCAACCTCACCCCAGTGGTGA